GACTCTTAATCTCAGGGTTGCGGGTTCGAGCCGTATGTTGGGCAAAAGATTTCTGCGTTGCAGGGGGTTGGACTAGATGACCCTTGTGATCCCTTCCAAATCTACGATTCCAATTCAAAATAGTAAAAATTGTGCATTGTTTCAAAATCCCAATTAAAACTATTCAGTTTAATTAATTCAATAAAACTGAACTCGAGCCTGTGACACCAGATACTGCATGAAAAATACTTTAAAGCATTCTTACTAATGAAAACGTAAGGGTGAAGAAAATTTATAGGATTAAGTATTTCTATATAAGTGCTCAACAAACATGCACAAACGTCCATCTATCACAAATGTAATGCAGCTAATTGATCAGAAAATCAATAGCTATTACCAATAATTGTAACAGCTCAGAATTGTAAATACAAACAAACATGACCAAAGGGAATAGCTTTGAAAGCAATGGGAGAAGAAGAATTTCAAATACAAAGGAAGGAAGGTGTTTTGCTCTAGCTCTCGCCTGGTCAATCATAAATAAGCGATTAACATGCTCAGAGGGCCCCCCCACCTCCAGTGCCCCCCTGCCACCCTCTTGCCTCTTATCCCACAGCCCACTTTGGGTACCACTGTTTCAGACCACCGCTCCCATCAGCCCCAGGCCTGATGGGAGTGGTGGTCCAAAGTATTCAGAGCGCAAGACCTTGGGGAAGGCTTCCTTCGATACCTGGAGTCAGCTCTCGCTGCAAACCCCCCCCCCCAAAAAAAACCCAAACTCAGCAGGCGGGCTCCCTTGTGACTCAGTTTTAGGATGATGATCCTCCTCCCTCCCTTTTCTCTTTTTTCTAAGAAGGCTAATAACTTTTTTAACGGCTCCCTCACTCCCCAAGACAGCCTGGGGGACTTTTTGTCTGTTGCCACGCAGTGTGCTATAGCAGCTAAACGGGGATATAGTAAAGACATCAGCAGTTTAACAGTAGATTTATTTTTATACCTCCGAAAATCAATAGCAGCTCCAGCACTCAAGACCCAAAATTAGCATGCAGGTGATGGCGGCCGTCCCTCCTGTCCCCAAAGTCCTTGGAAGGAAAACAGCCACTCAGGCTAGGTGGAGAAAAAGAACTTGGGGGGGTGGGTTTTTTGCCTCTACGAGAGCAATGGTTTTATTGAGTCTATATTTATTTGACTTACAGTCGATCTACTTTAACCCAAAGGGTCATGGCATGTCATAGCAATCCATAACTCCAGTGCATGTTGTTCATTTCCTCAAGATACAGATCCTCCAGAAACTTGCCAGAGTTAATCCCAAAACAATGGGAAAGCAGGCAAGGGCTGGGAAAATGACAAGTGCCTGAAACTCCCATTGTTCTAGGTGTGTTTTGCGACAGGGAATTTCATTAGCGCGAGCAGTTTCTGAGATCTGGGCGCAGTATTGCGCCTGAGTTTTCAGATTAAAACTGCAGAGTGGAAGGAAAAGAGGAGCTTTTTCTGCCTCCCCATTTCCAGCTACTCTCTGAAGATTGGAGAAGAGACCCTCTTAAGAATATTTAGTGGGGGTGGGCAGGGGAAGGACTAGAGCATGTGAAAAATGAACATAATATTTTAGCTGCAGTTCATTCATTTTCAGCTTTGTATACTTATTATTTTAAAAAGCATGCCTAGACATTCCGTTGTTGCACCCATAACCTAGGCTTAAGCTCCTAGCTTTCATATCTCAGTTTCTAACACTGAACGTGACGTGTAAGGTTGGGGATGGGTGTAGGGCAGGATCACATCTAGGAACAGAAGAAGAACCTGGCTGCTGGATCAGGCCACACACTCATCTAGTCCAGCATCCTATTCTCTCAGTGGTCAAACATGTATCTATAAGAAGCCCGCAAGCAGGACCAGAGTGCAAAAACACTCTCCCTTCTTGTGGCTTCCAGAAACATTTGCTGCATCTTGACAGTGGAGAAAGGGCACACCCACCATGGCTAATAGGCTTCTCCTCTGCCACGGACTGGTTGGGCACAGAGGAATGGTGGAAGGAACCAGCTGGGAATCCACCAAAAGAAGAGGGCTCAGAGCACGGGGAATGGTGGTGGGACAACGATGAGTGGGAAGAGGGAAAAGACTGGGAAGAGGAGGTGTCAAAAGCTGGAAATCCAACAGGGCTCAGTGAGCTGGGAGAGTCAATGGCAGAGAGAATCAGAGGCAGAAGCTGAAGCTGAAGCAGGAGAAGAGGGAGGCAGAGATGAGTCAGGCTGGTGAAGAGTCACAGGTGTCTTCCCCTGTGTGTCCCAGAACCAGAAGAGGCATTAAAAGTGTGGAGGAGCAGTTGGCTGCACGCAGACGCAGTCTCTGATGGCTGGGGAAAAGCCCTGGGGAGGAGGGGACTGGTTTTTATGGAGTAAGACCACAGAGAATGAGCTGCTCTGCTCATTAGGCCTGACACTCAACGAAGAGTTAACTCCAACTGTCAGCTGTGAATTACTGACTGGCACGCTCCTGTGACAACCTTGATGAATTTGTCTAATCAATTTTTAAAGCCATCCTAGTTGGTGGACATTCTGTCTTCTGTGAGAGTGAGCGCCACAGTTTAATTCTGCACTGCCTTACCTGAAGATGCCCGGGATCAAACTTGTGACGTTCTGCATGCAAAACACGTGCTCTACCACTGAGCCATGGCACTAAGGGGTTTCAGCACATCTCATATGACTGAAGGGAGGGTTGAGGTTGGAAAAGAGCCTGTTGTAGGGGAGCAACCAAATCTCCCCCAAATCTGCCCAGAGCGACGGCCCCCTCAGCCCCCCCCACTATGCCAGTGATTCAAATCTCCACTTAGCCATGACGTTCACTGTGACCTTGGGCCAGTCACAACCTCTCAGCCTCACCTACCTCACAGAGTTGTTGTAAGGATAGCAAAGAGGAAGAGAATCACGTGAAAACTAGGCGATAACCTGGAGATCCTCTAGGTGGGATATAAATCTAATCAATCAATCAATCAATCAAATAGTTCAATACTGTCAACAGTGGCTGCCATCAGCTCTCCAGGGTTTCAGGCAGGGGGTTCCTCTCCTGCCCAGCCTGGAGACACCAGGGATTGAATCTATGACCTTCAGCATGCAAGCAGATGCTCTGCCACTGAGCTAGTGGTCTGATCCAGCAGCCAGGCTTTTCCAATGCCAGGCAAACCTCAGATGCCAGAGGGGTGGCTGGATAAGATCCCACTTAGTCAGAAGGCCGGACTTGAGCTCCACTCCCCATGACTAGCAGGAGCAGAGTTGTGCAGAGAGGCTCAATTTGCATAATTTATGCATACTAAAACATTAAGGTTCCGCCGGCACATAATTTTTACAGCCCCCGCAGACACATAGCCCCCAACTACACACGGAGTGGGAGGAACAGGACGAACTCAGGGAGGGAAGGCAGCCAGCGTGCAAATCTAACTGAGCTCCACGGGCACGCTTGTTTGCGGTGATTCATTGGAACCGCAGTTTTCGGGATTTCCAAACTACCTGGAAGCTAAGGCGTTTAAACAAAAGCAAATGCAAGCCTCTCTGCACCCTCCTTCCTGATGCCACACCGCAAGCAGCGTGTCTAATGTGCCATTTGGAGACCGAGGGACCCATCTCCTCGCAGTCAAAGCGATGGCGGCACGTCCTGCTCAGCTCTTAACATATCCGTCGGCCGTCCCCTAAACCCTCTCCTCTTATGCACGCGCAATTGAGCAGAACACAGCTTCCATTTAGAAACCCTCTTTCCTGCCTATTGTCCTGCCCCTTGGTGACAGTGGTGGCTGTGGAGGGGACTTGTCTGTACATGCCAATGAGCTGATTAGAAGCATGGCAGGGGAGTAGAGGGCGAGGGAAGCAGGCCCCTGAGCCAGCCCTGCCGCATATAACCCCACTGCTGGCTGGATGACTGTTTGCAGTACAGCCCACCACCCTCCAAATTAACCATCCAGGTCTGTTCTGATCTCTGCCAGTCACTCTCTGGCAAATTAGCACTAGGGCGCTTGCAGGTCCCAGCTGCCACGATGAGGAAAGCCACACCACCGCAAGGCTGCATAAAGGCTACCTGCCTGAGCGTGTCGCTTTAAGGGTCTGCGGCGGAGCTGAGCAGGTGCTCCGGCTTACATAGGTTGGGCTGCAGTTCCCGGACAGACGCTTCCAAATGACCAGCATTAGCAAACTGGCCATTCTGCTAAATCTGCTCCAAGCCAGGCTCTCCTGCTCACAAGGAGGGATGGGGAGGGCGAGGGGAAGCAAAAAATGTAGCATGCGCTCTGGTCTGCAGGATGGGGAGAAAGAGAAAGGTACAGCTAGTTAGCAGCCCAGGGTAATGCTATTCTGCAGGCAAATAAAGAAAGGATTGGAGGCAGGATTATTTCACACAAAAAAAGAATCCAGACATTTGTGCAGGAAACCAACTTAACTGCAGCAGAAAGTGGCTGCCGAGTGATGCCAACGATTTTACAACTTATAAAGTCGCTCTCTATGCTCTTGGCAGCTAGGAAGATAAGGACAAAGAATTTAGATAAGTTAGCCATTAATTGTAAAGAGGACTTGGAAATCTAATTCACACAATCCATATGTGACTCCCCTCTATTTTATCTGTCCATGTAAGAAAGGTTTCTGTTAGATTCGGTTGTGGTTTTGTTGTATATTTAGTTATGGATGATGTCACGGCCACTGGCTAGCACAATGGAAGTTTGATTTGAAAAATAATTCTACACTATGAATTTTAAAAATGCGTATATTTGAGCCGAGGTACCTTCTCCCAAATGCCTCCCTCAGGCAATATTCTGGGTGCCACGTCAAAGGACGGCAAAAGCAGTCACTTAAGAGCAGAGAGAGAAAGCAGCACTGCTTCACCTGCCCTCAGTGACATCAGCATGCAGTCATCAGACAGGCTGCGCTTTACTGTGACATCATCCCATGGGCAAAATGATTCCTGGTTGGCAGCAAACTTCATAGAATCATAGAATTGTAGAGTTGGAAGGATCATCTAGTCCAACCCCTTGCCATGCAGTAATCTTTTGCCCAAAGTGGGAACCCAAGACCCTGAGAGTTAGCGTCTCATGGTCTACCAACTGAGCTATCCCAGCAATAAAGTTGGCTATGATAGCAAAAACCCTGGTGGTTGTGCTCTACCTCCACAGTTGGAGGCAGTATGTTGTTGAGAATCAGTTAGAAGAAACCTCAGGAGAAGGAGACTTGCTGTGGCACTAAGGCCCGGCACATGGACATCTTGTTGGCCACTGTGAGAACAGGATGCTGGACTAGAAGGACCACCGACCTAACCCAGCAGGCTCCTCTTAGGAGAATAGATCTCCTGGGTGAGCACCACTGAAGCAGGAGCTTGCCAAAGGCAGGCCCCCATTTATTTTGGGATGACTATCCTAATCGATCATGGCTGGGGAGAAGTTTCTCTTGAGCTGCGCTTAGTCAGCGGCCAAGAGGTCTTGGGGCCAGGCATGCTGCCATAAATGCTCCCAGTTTCCTTGAGCCATATTCTAAATAGCAACGCTATCTGTTCCAACCTTCAGAAGATAGATGCTTGTTTTGTTTGGGCTGGACACTGAGAGAACAGGATGCTGGGATAGATGGGCCCCTGGCCTGATCCAGCAGCCAGGCTCCTCTTACATTCTTATGTTGTGATAGGGTGTTCCCCAACTTGGTGCCCTCCCAATGTTGTTGCATCACAACTCCCACTGTTCCTATCCACTGATCTTACTGGCTAGGACTGGTAATCAGAGTCCAGCAACATTTGGAGAGTCCCAGGATAGGGGACACTGATGTACATCATTGCCATTGCAACAACATCCTGTTCACCGCATGATTTAGTAATGGTTGTCACTATTCCCAGGGTGTAAAACAACCCTGCTTTTAAAAAACAATTGGTGATAGTAAAGCAGCAGGGGTCCAAAAATATATATATCACCATTTGCAGCGTTTATGCATGTGTTTGTGGGACAAAATACTACAGATCCCCTCCCCCAAGCCACTGCTTTTGCCCCACAAATTGTTGTCTATTTGATGCATAAGCATCCATCACTTCTGAAAATGTGCCCTTTCCCCTCCCTCTATTTTTCTTGCATGTCTATAATTCTTAGGTTATAAGCCTCCATACTGTCCACCTGTAATTATTATTTTTTTTAGTTATAGTGGAACACTGGCCCTAAAAATGAAATGGAGAGGAAGTACTTCTTCATGCAGGGCACAGTTAAACTATGGGACTCAATTCCAACAGGAGGCAGCGATGGCCACCAACTTGGACTGTTTTAAAAGAGGATGGGGCAAATTCATAAAGAGGGTTGTCAATGTCTAGTAGCCATTTTGGCTATGCTGTTGCACTTCAGTTGGAGGCAGCAATGATGCTGGATACCAGCTCCTGGAAACTACAGGAGGGGAGAGGGCTCTTGTGCTCCAATCCTGAGTTTCCCACAGGCATCTGGTTGGCCCCTGTGAGAATAAGACACTGGACTATATGAGTCCCCTTTGACCTGATTCATCAGGCTCATCTTACATTCTTGGGGTGGGGATCAATAATGTCAGCTGATCCAGCTTAAGGTGGTCATGCACAGGAGGAGGAGGAAGAAGAAAGGAGGGCTCTTCTCCCTCCACAAAGGGAAAATTTTAACAGGCTTTGTTCTTGAAGGTCTCTGAAAGAGCAAATAAATCTTACACAAGACAAGTACACAACCTTCCAAATTCTGCAGCAGATTTCACAACTTACCCTTTCCTCCATTTGGCCCCAAACCAGAAAAATGGCATCATTTAAACCCTTCTGAACCTTTCTCATTTGCAAGAAAGGACTAAGTGATAAGCTGCAGAAAGAGGGCTCTCCCCACCTCCTGGGGAAGCACAACCCTGTTTGGTTTGTCCCATATAACTGGGTTCAAGGAAGGAGGACAAAAGGGTTGCTTAATGCCAAAGACGCCTTGGAGCAAACTCGGGAGTTGGGTCAGCTTCTCCACAGGGCCAGCCCTGCCCAGAGACAGAGTGAAGCTGTGGCCTCAGGTGGCAGACACTGAGAGTCGGGGTGTGGATAGAGCTGTGTATGCCTGTTCTGAACCTCCCTAAGCTAGGCCACACGTACACCATACATTTAAAGCACCATGACAGCACTTTGCGCAGTCACGGCTACCCCCAAGAATTCTGGGAACTGTTTGTTAAGGGTGCTGAGCGTTGTACAAAGACCTCTATTTACACACACACACACACACACACACACGGCTACAATCATAAAATCATAGAATTGTAGAGTTGGAAGGTGCTCCAAGGATAACCTAGTCCAACACCCTGCAATGCAGAAAACTCTACTAAAACATCCATGATGTTGCATGACCAACTCTGTGTCCACAGACTTTTAGCATGTCACTGCAAACAGCTATTAAAATGCAAGAATTCTTCATGTGTCATCACCCTTTCGTATTACTCCTTTCACCTGTGGCATTATCAGCAGCAGCAGCAGCTTCCCATGAGCACAATTATGTGGCAAGAATGTCAGGGATGGCTGTGAAAAGGAGGCCTTAATCTGTAGCGTCTCCTTGAACTTATTCTGTGAGAAGCATGAAGAAGCTGTTCAAAGACTGCCTGTTTTCAACAGCACAAAAAAAGCCGCTCTGTAGAGGTCCTGTGTTTATCAGGCAACATTCATTCCGCCAGATCACCTCCGTTTTCCCAAAGTGATTTTCATTCCTCTTCACAGGGGACTCCAGGAACTGTGGCAGTGGGAGGGGAATAGGGGTCTCCTAGCAACTCTCAGCACCCTTAACAGGATTCAGCTCCAGAATCCTTTGGGGGAAGCCGGGACTCTTCAAAGTGATATGACAGCTCTTCAAATATGTGGTGTAAATGTGGTCACTGTCTCCTGCCCTCTGGTGTATTGGAGGAAGCTGAAGTAACATCCACCTGCCAGCCTGGGCATCTTCCGTCCCTGTAATGGGGAAAGGCACCATCTTGTCCTTGGCCTCAGGCGGCATAATTTCTTGGGCCATCCCTGCACAGATGATTTGTCTCACAGAACAAAAAGCTGACAAAGAGAAGTGACGTTTTCTTCAGTGAGCTACCAAGACGTTATCTTCTGGAAGCAAGCTTTGCCATCACAAATAGCCCTTATCCTTCCTGCCCACCCACCTACCACACAACCAAAATATGTTTAACAACGTCAGTAAAAATACAAAAAAAGAAGAAGAAACTCCACAGAGGATTCAACGTGCTAGAAATAGATGTTCTGAGACATGTTTTGCCTTGCAATTATTATTCTAGCATAATAATTATCATCCAGCTGGGAATCAGGCAAGAGGGATGACACCTCAATAGAAAGGCAACTGGAAATGGCTACATGCCAACATGGCCGAGGTTTGAGGAACCATCAGGACCCAAGCACAAGAGCTCTCTCCCCAACTGAAGGTTTCAGATTCAAATGGATTACTGCCTCTAACCATGGGAGCAGAGCAGAGCCATTGTGCCTAGTAGCCATGGATGGCCTTCTCTACCATTAATTTGTCTAATCCCTATTTTAAAACCACCCAGGTTGGTGGCCATCACTGCCTCCTGTGGGAGCAAGTGAAGGACTTTCTTTTACCTGCCCTGAATCTTCCAACATGCAGTTTCATTGCACGTCCCTAAGTTTCAGCGTTATGACAGAGGGAGAACTTCTCTCTATCCGCTTCCTTTGTGCCAGACATTATTTTGCAAACTTCCATCACATCACCTCTTACTCTCCTTTTCTCTAAACTGAGAAGTCCCAAATGCTACAACTTTTCCGCATAGGAAAGTCGCTCCACCTGCTTGATCATTTCGGTTGCCTTTTTCTGAACTTCTTCTGAATACATGGACTACAAATCTAAATAACAAATGCAATTTTGTCCCCTGAAGTCTGAAGCAGGGTAGACTTCTCTGCTGCCTTGTCCTGCAAAACATGCAGGCACAGGGACAGTCAACAAGTGAATAGCACACACGTTTCAGGTTTATGTACTGTACAAAGTGGCACACTTTGATCTTACAGCCTCAGCTTGTGGGCAGCCAATAACATGAGGATCACAATATTAGCTTAAGAGCCAATGGCATCACTTGGGAAAGGACAAACTACGCCAGCTGCCAAAACAGGAGTTTGGGAGATATATCAAGGTACTGTGCTTTGCACCACATGACCTCATGCAATACACCGTTGCCAGCCTGGTGCTCTCCAGTTGTTTTGGACTACAACTCCCATCAGCCCTGGGCCAGCACAGCCATTTTGGATTCCAGCTCCCATCAGCCCCAGGCAACAGGGCTGCCCATATTGGCATAACAGGAGAGGAGTATGGATGCACAGGAATGATTTAACAAGAAAAATGATACAGTATTGCTACAAGCAAAATCATTTATGAATGGAAGATGAGGGGCAATTTTTTAGAGCAAACAGAGAAGATTCAAAACACAACTCTTCCAGGGTCTTCTGTTGTTTTGTTTTTTTGCAAAAAGCTAGGTGGAAACGGAGCCAAGGGATAGTGTAAGGTCAGTTGGCGTAATACTGTCAAAAGTCCCCCCAGCTGGAATCTCATTAGGTGGCCCTAGACAAGGTCCCCTCCCTTCTCAGCCTCAACTCCTCCATCTGCAATACAGGAATAAAGTTACTGACCTCCTCTGCAGGGTCATCATAACAATTGCTAAGAAAAAGCAGCTGAAGAGTGTAAGAAGATCGTTGCTGGATCAGGCCAAAGGCCCATCCTAGCCCAGCATCCTGCTCCTAAAGTGGCCAAGCAGATGCCTCAACTGGGAAGCCTGCAAGCAGGACTGGAGTCCAAGAGTATTATCCCCACCTGTGATTCCCAGCAACTGGTATTCAGAGGCACACTGACTCCCAACAGTAGAGGCAGAACGTAGCCACTGTGGCTTGCAGCCCTGGATAGGCTTCTGCTCCACGCATTTGTCCAATCTTATTTAAAGCCTCCCACAGTCGAAGGCAGCAATGCATCTGAATACCATCTGATGGAAACCACAGAAGGGGAGATTTGCTCTTGCGCTCAGGTCCTGCTTGTGAGTTTCCCATTGGGGCATCTGGTTGTCCCCTGCGAGAACAGGATGCTGGATTAGATGGGCCATTGGCCTGATCCAG